TATAGACTGTTAGGCCACTACCTTGCAACATTCACCCATCTATCAGCTGACAAGCACCAAGCTTCCACGTGCCCAGCACCACACTGGGTCACTGAAGATAAGGATGACACAGTTCCCTTTCCCTGCCCTTCACAAGGCAGCTGGGGGCAGGGGGCTGACAGCTAACATTCGCAGATGCTGGCTAATCAGATTACAAAGTGCGTCCACTCCTACTCCATCGTCATCATTATGTGCTTGAGATTAGATTCAGGTGGACAGAATCATCATCACTGATAGGCAAAATAAAGACAGGCCCAAGCAGACTAAGTCATTATCCCAGGGCCATACAATAAGTAGCAGAGACAGGACTAAAACCTGATCTTCCAATTCCTTAGACACACAGCAGCCATCCACAGGTCCAGAAAGTTTTATTCAAAGTAACACAGGGATATGAGTAGCTGTTAGGCGCAGTAAAGATGCAGCTTGAGACACCTGGGTCTCATATCAGAGTGCCCAGGTCTATGTTCCAGCTCTGCTTCCTGCACCCGGGAAGGTTCCTGCTACCCACATGAGACCAGGACTGAGCTCCCAGCTCCCAGCCTCTGGCTTCAGCTGGGCTCAGCCCCAGCGATTATGGGGACTGGTGGAGTAAGCCAGTAGATGGGACAGTCCTCTCTCTCTGTCTCTCTGCCTTCAAAATAAAAATAAATTAATTAAAACAATTTTTTAAGTCATTCAGGGAAAGCACAGGGAGTCCTTATTCTTGGCTTACGTTAAAGATGCCTCTGGGCTGGCACTGTGGCATAGTGGTTTGAGTCCTGGCTGCTCCACTTCCAATTCGGCTCTCTGCTGTGGCCTGGGAAAGCAGTGGAAGATGGCCTAACTCTTTGGGCCCCTGCACCCACGTGGGAGACCTGGAAGAAGCTCCTGGCTCCTGGCTTCAGATCGGCACAGCTCCGGCTATTGCGGCCAACTGGGGAGTAAACCATCAGATGGAAGACCTCTCTTTCTCCCTCTGCCTCTCCCTCTATCTGTGTAACTCTGACTTTCAAATAAATAAATAAATCTTATAAAAAAGACAATGTCTCAAAACTAGAAAAAGTATGTTAACTTTTGGGGGGAGGTGGTGAGCATCCTCTCTTGGTAAACGAAAGCACTGATTAAAGGCCAGGGCTGGCAGTGAAATCTTAGAAGGTCCATTAGTGTCCAGAAGGCCTCACCAACGGGGCGTCTCCAGGGGTTTTACCTGCACTGCAGATGGGCCTAGAACCCTGCCTTCCTTCCCTGATAGTAGCTCTTGGGCAGCACAGAGGCAGAAGTCTTGGGTCAACAATGACAGTATGGCCACAAAGCGCCAGGGATAGCTCTTGGGATGAGAGGGTCTCATGGCCTTTTGAGGAGGGTTGGGGCCAAATGGATTCCAAGTGCAGAATTCGGTGTCATCCCTTGAGAACCAATAAAAAAACCTCAAAGACTCTAAGATTCAAGAATCCCTGTACAATGGAATCAGACTCTGTTCACTGGAAAGGATTCTATTAGTTCTTCCTTATACTGAGAAGAGACAACTCCCATCCACAGATCTAGATTCTGCCCTCTCGATGACAAAGTCATTTCTACCCTCTATTCCCATGATCACACTTCAATTCCTGGAAGAGAGCAGCCCTCAGCTTCTTCCCAAACTTAATCTCAGCTTCTGCAGCTTTCACTCTAATGACATGGACCACATGATACTGGTTACTCCTCCAGGCCCTTCCAGTTCCTTCAAGAACATTTTTGAATGCTTTACGTAGAATACAAGGTGTCATTCACATACCACACACGCAGGTGTGGGCTGAATGGCTGTGAGTACAATGGGACTACTAGTTCTCTTGATCTGTACATTGTTTCATTAACCCAGCCTGAGATCATACTGGCTATTTTGGCAGGTGTCACACTATTGAATTCAGTCAAATAAATATTCCAGAACTTTTATAGGCGCTCCATATTTTCTTCTAAGCTAAAGAGCTGATGAGAAATAGGAATAAGAGTCTTGATGATGAAATTGCAACTTAATGTTCTCAGACATGGCTGGAATATCCTGAACCTATCATTGCTCCATCACTACATCACAGTGGCATGAGAAGAGGAAGTACAGGAAAGAACAGAGAATCAAGTTTTAGCGAGAATGTTTTAAGAAACCAAACCTCTGCTCCCTCACTCCTTCCTGTGATACAGGCTTGGTTCTATATGTTAAGATGCATCTCTATAATTCTGGGCTCACTGTGGGTCTGAAAGAAGTAGTTAATGATGGGTGAAGTCACAGAAAAGACATTCATTCAGTAGACATTTATGGGCCAATCAGCTCCAACGCCAACCCATTCTCCTCTGGGAAGTCTGTGCTCATGGGACTTCTCAATACCCTCACTTACATGTTTAACACCAGACCCGATGACCACACAAACTAGAGGCCTAAAGAGACTCAAAGGTCAGTAGTAATGGGAGGGGGAAAGGTAATACACAACATTAGCAAACAGGCTTCCGGAGGCAAACAGTCCCAAAGAACCCTTTAAGGATAAAGACAGCTGAATACTAATGGAGGAAACAATAATCACGTCCTAAGTGGCTTGTCATCGACTGCAGACATGAGCTGCAAAGGGAAAGCATGAAGATGCTTTAACAACATCACAACAGGGCCCTCCAAGAGCTGTCCCCAGCAGCGTGTGACTCTAGTCACTGCCTTGGGATTTCAGAGGAAATTTGGCCTGAGCTGCTCAGGGAGGCCCTTCTGGAGAGTTGAGGTTTGAGCACAGGCTTGAAGGACCATTATGCTCAGGAGAAGCACAAATTAGAGAGAACACATCCCAGAGAGGCAAGCAGTAGGAACAAAAGCTGGGGGCAGGAAGCAGCAGCCAAGCTTGTGTTGGGGAATAGTGAGGAAAACAATTTGGCTGGAGCAGAGTTCATCACTGGAATTAAGAAGTGGATGTCGGAAAGGCAGGCCGGAGACCAGGCTGCACATCATTAGAATATTGGGTGAGAGTGGGCTCTATCTATAAGCCAGTGACTTCCGAACTGTGATGATATTCCTCTTACATGTGACTTATTTATAAATCGCCTATTTGTACAACTGTACTATCACTGCATACATAACAAAAAATGAAGAATTATTTTAAAATGATGAGGTAGAAATTCTAGTACTTTCTTCCCTACTCCAGTAAACTGTCTTGTGAACCTGAAGGTGGCCCCCACTGGAGACAGCTGCTTGCGTGGACAGGAGGGAGGTGGCGAGCAGTGCGTGTGGGAGTGCGTAGGACAGTGACATGCACGGCGGAGCGGGTGGGGAGAGACTGCAATGGCTGCTGCAAGCTTAGGCACGAGAGTGCAACCCAGACCCTGATGGCGAAAGAGAGGACGCAACAGGAAGAGTGATTTTTGAGACAAAAAACAAAGGATGGCCTCTGCAGAACGAGTAGGATGGATGGGTTGGTGTGGAGAGGAGGAAGAGCAAGCCAGGGGCGGTCAGAGGGCACTCTTTGAAAAGCCAGGGCAGTACTCTCAAGAGTGCTTAGCTGCTACCAGCGGGAGAGCAAGAGACGGGAGGCAAACAGAAAAGCTTCGAGAGCTTGGCCCCAGGTACTACAATCGCCAATTTTGTGTTTTAATTAGGAAGGGAGATTTAAAAGGTAAAGAACAAAGTCAGATGTGTTCATTTCATTTGTGCGCTCTATCCTGGGGTATCTGAAAAAGGTGTTACTGTGATCAAAATGGTCAGGCAACTCTCTCTGGAGAGCATCTGTCATTTTCCTCTAATTCCTGGGCCAAGAAGAGAAAGGTTGATTAACACAACTGCCCAAGAGAAGTCTGGTAGAAGCTGACATTTTTCCTAAATGAGAATTGCAGGAAAAGTCAAATGGGTGGCACAGTTAAGAAAGACAGGAAAAATACTTCAAAGTGTTATCCTACACTGATACACTTTTTAAAAAGATTTATTTATTTGAAAGGTAGAATTACAGAGAAAGAGGGAGAGACAGAAAGGGGGGTGGGGAGAGAGGAGAGAGAGATGGTCTATCCACTGGTTCACTCCCCAAATGGCTACAACAGGTGGGGCTGGGCCAGGCTGAAAGCAGGAACCAGGAACTCCATCTGGGTCTCCCACGTGGATGGCAGGGGCCCAAGTACTTGAGCCATCTTTTTCGCTGCCTTCCCAGGCATATTAGCAGGAATCTGGATTAGATGTGGTGCACCTGGGACTCTAACTGGCACTCTGATATCAGATACTGGTGTCTCAGGTCACAGCTTAATCCACCGTACCACAACACAGTCCCAGGGTGTCCATTTAAATGTAAAATCATGGCCGGGGTGGAGGAGAGGGACAGTTCTGTCCTAATGGAAACAAGAGCTCTTTGACAATTTTGGCATTATGCCAAAACTCCCAAAGTAGCTCCAACTCATCACACTTCCTTGTCTACCAGTTTGGGCGGTCCAGGTGACAAGGTTAGACCAGTCACTGGTGGCTTGTCCTTAGCTCTCCCCCCTGGATGGGGACATGCATCAGTTCCCTTAGTTTGTTGTGGTGAGGTATCCACACACTTTCACCCATTCACCTTGGTTGTCAGCAATCCACTGCTATAAGACTTTGCAAGCTAGAAAGTTATCTGAGGTCCCCAAATAAGGTTGCCAAGACCCAGCCCATGTTCTTTGTGTTGGCAACACAGTGTATTAGCTGCGCGGCTACTCAGAGCACATGTGAAACTGACTGAATGCCACTTGCCTGCAGCCACTGGGTCAAGCTTACAGGGAGGTTGGTCCTCCTGGGACCCTGTTCACCTCTCATCAACAACCCAACACCAAAAGGACCTGTTAATTCCCTGAGCCACAAAGGGCTGTGGGGCACAGCTTTTTAGAAGCCACCGTTACTGGAAATGATCCTATTGGGGGAATGAAGACAGGTGCAGTGGAGAACACGGCAGGAGGTTGTGCAAGACCCCAGGAGTTTCACAGAGGCAGGGACACACATGGAGCTCCTCAGGACCCCCACTTACCAGCTTGCTTTTGACCAACTTTTCTATTGCACTGACAAGGTCTGCAGCAGTAGGAACTTCAGTGGCAGCCTGCCGAGCTGCTAGCAAAGAGGAGGACTGCAAGACATCGGGCAGCAAAGGGAGAGCAGATTAGCGAGGAATGAGGAACAGCAGTTAGGAAGCAAAACAGAAGTCCAAAGCTCACAGCAGGCAGGGGAGGCAAAGCTTTGCTTAGAAGGAAGAGATGACAGCAGGAGATGAAGGGCAGTATGGGCGTGGGACGGGTCTGCCTACTCCTTGTCAGGCATCTGGCCAACATCAAAGCATGGATCAGACCAGGCCCTCCTTGACTCCAAAGGAGCTGAGAGGAGGGGCTGCTGAGCTCCCAGGAGGCCAACAGGCTAGGGCAGGTCCTACTGACAACACTGGACAAGGGCTGGCGGGCTGGCGTGGGGGTTGGGGATGACTACTCCGAGGGCAAATGGGGCTTTGGCTACTAAAACTGCCTGTGGCTGTTTCAAAGTAAGAAAGGAGTCATAAATCCAGCCTCAGGTGTGTCCAAAGAAATAGTCCTTGCCTTAGATAAAGATTCGCATTGTGTGTCATGCAAAAATGCTACGGACAGGGCACTTTGGGATCAGCAAGCTGGACACGCTCTCCCAGAAAAAGGCTGGTTCTAGTAAGGCCCAGGAGCTGGAACACTAGGGCCAAATAGTAAGAAAGGGCTTTGGCAGGAGTTGCATGTCGTGGGCTGGAGACCACTCTGTCCACAGTAACAGGAGGCTCCGCCCAGGGCCTCCTTGTGTCTCTTTTCCTTGCACCAGTAATGAGGACTTGCTCATGTGGCTGTTTGGCCAGTGGTTTAGGGATTCCTGCTTGCTGAGGGATGGTGGTTTCTCATTTGTTTCTTCCTTATTCTACCTGAGAAGAAACTGGGAGACAAAAGGTTAACCCTGCACGCATGTGCGTTGCCCCCAGCACGTCAGAGCCGAAGGCAGTGGTGTTCCAGGCCAGGCCGCAGGCTCCCACAGTCTTCAACAGTAAGGACAGAGGGCACAGAGAGTGCAATGGCTTGGCTTCAAGTTTCCTCCTCAGCTAGGGGAAGAGCTTTAGAAAGGAAGCTTCCCACTACTCTCACAGTTACCTTAAGTCTTTGCTCCTGAGATAAGGGGGGAAAAAGCAAATAAATGTAATTAAAGAAGATACAGCAATACTCTTTTTCCTCTCTTGGGGAATGGGGAATGCAGGAAAAAGCTGAATCTGGTTGGACTGCCAAGTTACTGTCTCTTCCATCTACAACTCCTACTCCTGGGAACTTACCCTAAGGACAGAAGTCAAAAGAACAAAGGCTGTGTGGACACCGTGGTTGGTGAGGAACCATCCAGAGCAGCAGGGCTGGAAACACCCTGCCAGGATGTCTCTAATGGGGGCTGCTTAACAAATTATGGAACTTCAAATACAGAAAACACTCTCCAGCTATCAAATTACAGTTACAGGGGTAAAACGAGTAAGAGGATAGAATATGGTAATAAATAAAACAAGAATGCATCACACACAGAAACGTAAAACATCCATGCATAGGAACAAAGATCAAAAGGAAACATGGAGAATTAAAATAATCACACAACATTCCAACAGGTGAACTTCTAACTCGTTGTAAAAATTGTCTGGATAAATCCAACTTCATTTACTAGAAGTTCTGAGGCTCATCCCAATCCCAAATATTCCAGAGAAACATTTGTACACCAAGAGGAGTTAATGTGTCTCAACATTGCCATCTGCCCTATTGCTAGCTAAGAAAAGGACTCCACAAATGGCCAGTGTACGTCCTCACACTCAGTTAAAAATTATCCAGAAACAACATTGCATCCACCTCCCTCAAACATTCTGTTTGGGAGAGTTGGAGGGGGAGGGTTCATGACCTTCCCTTATCTTGCACAAGCTGGGGACTTGTGTGGAGGGCTGTGTGGGATGGCAGGTAATGGGACAGCTCCACTCCACCCTCTCAAACACCAGCACTGTTGGCAAAATACTCTACAATGGTGGGCCCCTGGGAACCCGGCAGGCTGGTTCCATTTCCATCTCAAAGTGAGGCACAGGCATTTCTGCCCCTGGGAATCCTAGATGGGCACAATGCCAAGCTTCCAACTACCTTCCTTCCCCACAGTCTAGAGTCAGAGAGCTGGCCCTTGAGAGCAGGGCCATGAACATCACCTCAGGGGGTGACTGCTGTGCACTTCCCATGGGTGGATGCCATGGGGACAGCTACCACATCTCAGTCCTCATCCTATCCTCTAGCCCAGCACAGATGAAGGCCTCAATTAATGTGGGTTAACAAGCCAAATGCAAAGCAGAGAGAATGAAAACAAGAACTGGAATATCACAGGGATCCGGAAGCGTCTGTAGATCGTACTTCTGAGCTGCATCCTAGGCCAGCCTTACAGAAGTGTGCTTCCTGCTGAGGCACGCAGGGTCCCCACTGCAAAGGAGGCCGCCCTGCTGCAAGGCAGAGCACTGGTAAACACAAGACCCTGAAGTAGGGACAGCTAGGCTACCAACTGCAACTGCCACCACTCTGAAAAGCAAATGGAGAGTACGTCTGAAACTGGAAACTGCTATCACTACGTCCAAGTCCAGGAGGACGGGCAACACAGAGAGCAGACAAGGAAAACACAATGAAGTCAGGCATCTGTCACCAAGGGTAAGACGTCTCTAGGGAAGCCTGCATGCCATATCAGAGTGCTTGGGTTTGAGTCCTGGCTCTGCTTCTGACTCCAGCTTCCTCCTACTGTGCACTCTTGGTGGTAGTAGGTGATGGGTCAAGTACTTAGTCCCTGCCACCCACTTGGGAGACCTGGATTGAGTTCTTAGCTCCTAGCTTTAGACTGTACCATCCCTGGCTATTGCAGGCATTTAAGGAATGAACCAGCAGATAGAAGATCTCTCTGTGTAGCTCTCTCTCCGAGTATCTGGTTTTCAAATAAATAAAAATTAAAACAGTAGATAAAAATAAATGGAAAAGAAAAAGAAAAGAAAAAAAATCACAGCGAAGTGGAAGCATGGCTGTAAGGAAAGTGAATGATGGATAAGACCATTGAAACACCCTGTAACTCGGCTTAGTTCTTGCGAGCATATCCCTGTCGAGCCGCTGCTCCAGGGCACCTGGATGGCCGCTGCATCACCAGAGGCACAGTGGACACGGGCATTTCAGACATGAGGGTGCCTCTGCAGGCCAGTGAGCTGGGGATTTTGTGATGTGAAGGACTTGGGCAGGCTGGCGTTCCAACAGCCTCCTCTTAGCTGCATCCCCATCCCTCATGTTAACAGCACTGGGCCGCTGTAGAACTGACCATTATTGAGATTTTAGAGTGGAGGATACGGGAAGCAATCAAAACATAGGTTGTACAGTCAGATACAACAAAATGGCTGTGACCTGGAGCCGCCACAGTTTCCTTTTTGACCCTTTTAGGATCTGCTGCCTCTAAAGTCAGACAAACCATTGCCCTTCGTCAGCAGGACAAGCGGTCCGGCAGATTCCCGTTGTGAGAATCCTGTGCACACCCCTACACTGCCCAGAGTGAAGTCAGTCCTTCCGGACATCTGCCAGATCCCAGACGGATCTAGATCACCAAGGATTCACGGGAGGTAAGAGGTGACCCATCATACACACATACACACACACACACACACACACACAAACAAATCATGTGCAGGGCGCATTGCTCTTTCAAGGAAGAAAGCATGAGGGCCTACCATCTCGTCCTGCGTGGGGTCGTTGTCAAAGATCTTCATAGGCGGAGGGAGTGGGGTGTGGGACTCTTCATCTGGCTCATCTTCTCCCCAACCTTTCTTGCTCTTCTAGAACAAAAGAGCGGCATTAGCTACCATTTCATATAGCCAAAGTCGCCGACAGCTCAGAACTTGATGTTCGTAAAAAAACAAAACATGAGAGGTCAGTTTCTCTCTCACCACACCCCTATCTTTGCAGGGGCAGTTTCCCTCTCTGTAATACAGATCCATCTGCTTATCGCAAAGGAGAATGAGGCCCAAGGGAGAAAACACACACACACACACACACGCACAACCCACAAAACCCAATAAAACAGAAAGCTATCCTATTGAGTAGTCAGCAAGAGAGACAGAAAAACAATACTCAGAGAGAGCCTAACTTCCCACATTTTGGAAGGACCTTTAGTTAAACCCTGACTGGAATGTTACCAGGCTCCATTGCCCTTTCCAGAGAAAGGGAGGACTGCAGACAGAATAAGAAGGAGCCTGGCTGTACATGGGAAGAGTTTTTAGCCACATCAGTGATGGGGGTAGATCAGTTTGCCAGATCAGATCTCATTCCCCCAACCCAAATGCATCTAGTGTATTTTTTTTTTTTTTGCATGTAGTGTATTTTGAGGATGGAATCTTTCTAAGACCTCAGTGATCATCCAGCCTAATCTCTCGGCTAACAGAGAGATCTCCCTGACTGTTATGTAGGCCATACTGTCCCGCAATTGCTTCCAGTGTGGGCTCTCATTAGTTGCCGTCAAGGCCACTTCATCACTGGTTGATCCCATCCCTGCAAAGTCCCTCTCTGGACTGAATCCCTGTCTGTTGTAACCGCTGTATGTTAAACACGGTTCTCCCCCTGCAGCAATCTGGAATCGTCTGTTCTCTTTTATATACAGCACTGCTCAAGATACTTGGATGCAGCTGTAATCTCCCAGCCCAGTCTTTCTTTCCAAAGGAAAATGGTCTCCGTTCTCTGATTCTTGGTCTAAAGGTCTGGCCAGTTTTGATGTAGTCCTCAGCAGAGGCAGGGAACCAGGTAATCAACTGCCTCCCATCAGGCCCAGACGTCTGCCTCCCAAATCCGGCAAAATGATTTCTGTCTGCAGGATATTCTAGGCGCTGGTCAGCCTCTGGAGCTGGGCACATCTTGAGGATAAAAAGAACTGAAGTCACTTGGGCTCCAGATGACAACTCTCAGCGAGTGGAAGCTCGCTGGCATACAGAGCCCGCGGAGGGGGATCTGTGAGAAGTCCCTGCCTGCGGGGGTCTCCAGGCCCTGGCAAGTACCTCATCGGCGCTGTCTCCCTGTGGGGTCGTCTCCTCCCCAGGCTTCGGAGACCCCAGGTCGAAGCTCTTCCGACCATCCCGCACTTTCTTCTGCTTCTTGATGTTGCCATCCGCCTTCCCGCTGTTGAGCCGGCGCACGGGACTGGTCAGCCACTTCTTCAGGGTGTTGGTGGAGCGCTTGGGACCGGGGGAGCTGTGGATGGAGTTCAGGGAGGGCTGAGCCTGCAGGTTGGCCACGGACTCAGACTTGCCTCCGTTTTCACTGGAGGAATGAGAGTATGCATCTGAGGAAAAAGGACAGACAGACACAGCCACATTAGAGGCAGCTACGGTAGGCCCTCAAGCCGGCAATAAGACAGTGCCCTTCTCCGGCAGCTAGGATACCAGGTGGAATGTCACGGCCAGCTGCAGAACTGAGTCAGGGAGCCCACTCGGGACCTGCAGTGACAGCTGACCCTCAGTCAGTTTTGAACATGAAGGCACCATGCCCGGTGTCATGGATAGAGGAGTGGGCAGAAGACATACACCCACCTTCATGGAGGTTCTATTCTTATGGCGAACACATAAAATAGATTATGACAAGAACAAAATAATTGCAAGGTAAAGCAAGGCAGATGGTGAGAAGTTCTATACTGAAAAATAGAGTAGGGGAAGGGAGTAGAAATACCAAGGTGGCATAGGGCATGCAAATTAAACCGTGGGTCAGAGAAGGCCTCTTGACACGGGCATCTGAGCAAAAACCTGAAGGTATGGAGGGGGCGGGCCATGTGGCCACCTGGGGAAGGGTATTCCAGGCAGTCAGAAAAGGAGCCAAATGCAGAGGCCAGACCTGGGGTGCGCCAGGGGCGGCTTCGGCGGAGCAGGCAAGGCAAGAGCAGTAAGAAAGGTCAGAGAGGCAGCAGGGGACTGAGTGATCTGGGGACAGGGGGCCGGTGCGAGGCCTTCGGCTGTCACCTGGCGTGAAAATCCACCACAAGGCTGAGGCAGAGTGACACATCCTTCCCTACATGTAAGGGCCGTAGAAGTAGGGAGACTGGCTAGAAGACCAGGATGCTCTTCCAGGTGAAGGATGTTGGTGACTTGCAAAGGATGGTGGCGCCTGTGGTTGTTAGAAAGGCATGTTTCTGGGTGTGTTTTGATGGTAGACCCCACAGAATTTGCTGATGATCAGGCAGAGGATATGATAACAGGGGGTCAAGGATGACTTGGGATGTTGGCCTGCAAAACTTGGACCATGGTGGAATGGTTCCTATTGCTCACATGAGATGAACTTGAAACAGTAAGTGAGAATACTTAGAGATTCCTGAGACGGGGAAGGTGGGAGAGCAGCAGGCGTGGGGAAGAGGGGGGGCAGTTCAGTGTTGGATATCCTGGGGATGCCCACTGGAGGCCTGAGTGCAGAAGCTTTATGGCAGTTGGCTATCAAGTCTGAGTTCGGGGAGAAAGTGCTGGTGAGCTGGCGATAGCCAGGGAGTGCACAGATGGCAATGGAAGCTTTGAAGTGGGTGAGATCACCCAGGGGCACAGATACGGACAGGGAAGAAGTCCAAGGACTGAGCCAGAAACAGAGGTATGAGAGGACAAGGAAGCAGCCAGAGAGGTAGGAGAAGCAGAGAACGGGCCTCCCGGAGACTCCATGTCAAGTGTGTGGCAGAGGGGAGAAATCAGCTGTATCAAATGCTACTCGATAGGTCAGGCAGCTTGGCTGACCCGAGAAACAAGTGTTAAGCTTACTTAGCAACACGAGAGTCATTGGTAACTTTGAGAAAAGCAGCTGTCATGGAATGGAGGGGGCCAAAGCCTGATTAGAGAGGGTGCCAGAGAATGGGAGAGAGCAGCAAAACACAGCGCAATGGAAAATTCTTGTTTGGCTTTAAAGAGATAGTGATTGGAGATCAAGAGACTCTGTTTGGCTTTGTTTATTTAAATGAGAGAAATGAGCATATTGTTTGTAAACGGTATGTCCTTTATTGACTATTTGCAACGTCAGAATGTAGTTGCACGAGCCTCTGTATTTGACATTGACTATATTATTTCCTTCTCATAACCACCATGTGAGGTAGGTTCTATTACAGAGGAGGAAACTGCAGGCTTAGAGGCACCAGTCAATCTGCCTAAGGACATACAGCTCCTAAGGACAGGAGAGAGCTGAATTCCACACAGCCAGACACTGAGCCCTTAGTGTCTGCCCAGCTCCCCAGGTTCCCTCCAAATGTGGGGCTAAGGATAAGGCTGGAGGAAGAGCATGTCCAGAGGAAGCCACCCTGTGCCACAGCACAGAGGGGCCAGAACAGCCGACGTGGGCACTGATACCCGTATCAGGCAAACCTTATTTAATGGCCTCAAATCCTTGACACCCGAACCCCTGTAAAACTCTGAGATCAATATTAGAACCCTGTGACTTTGGCTTTCGAGAAAGCTTTGAGTTATTCAAAAGAAACCTCTTTAAGCCCCCTTCAGAACAGCATCCCTGCCCCTACTGCTCAGGGAGGCTGTTCTGGGCTGTACTAGTGTTGAGAAAGCACAGGTCCCCAGACTTTCCAAAGTGGCCCAGCAACACAGGAGCCACAGCGTACAAACCAAGACCCCGAGCAAGAATGACTAAGCATTAACAATGTCATGGAGCACCTATATGGTAGTGCACAAATCTAAAGATACATAAGACATGGAATTTATTTTCAGAGACCTCTCCTCTAGCTACACACATCATCCACACACAACAGTAGAGACAGCAAGGAGAAAGAGTGAAAGAGGACAACACAGCACACAAAATAAAGATGAATTCTTGTGACGGTATGTGATTAATTGCCCAAGGACTGGTACGAAAGCTGGTTCAGAGGAGGGTCAGCTTCGTGTAGGCAGGATTGGTCTGAAAAGGTTTAATGGAAGAGTAGGGGGAAAGAATTCCAAAGGAGGGAGACAGCAGGAACAAAAGCATAGGGGCAGGCAAATGAAAGAATAAACTCTCATAGCTCATAATAGATTCTTTGGATGAAATAAAGATTGATGAAGAAGGAAACAGTGGAAGATTGAACTTGAAGGGTTGGTGAGGACATTCAATAATAAACTGGAGGAGTCTGGAGTTCATTTTCAGACTACTGGGAAATGACATGATAAAAAGGTGTGTGTGTGTGTGTGTGTGTGTGTGTGTGTGTGTTTATAATTAATCTGGCAACTGTATGTAGCACAGCCCTGGGAAGGAGGGATTAGAATCCAGAAGGTCACCCTATGGGACTTACACAGGGATGGCAAGGGGGTGAATGGGAGGCATGTCCAAGGAAATGATACGGTGAACATGTGGAAGACAAATCAAAGGCGAGTCCTCTCTATGCGTGCTCCTCGACTCATCACCAAGAGGTCTTGGGAGAGTAATGCCTGACCAGCTCAAACTGCAACTGCCTGCCTGCCACCAGCCACCTACCTCACCCCACCCGACAGTGCCAGTTTGCACACTGATATTTAAACCAAACACATGACTAGGTATTTAAAGAAATTATCACAGTTTTTCACACATACTCAATGGTTGAATCACCTTTTCCTATAATGGCTTTGCCCTAGTCCTAATCTGACCCTGGAGGCTCTCTAGCTTGGATGAAGCCAATAGAGAAGAAATAAAATCCTGAAATGAGGTGAATGAATGATTTTTACCAATAGAGCGCTGCTTCCAGCTTCTACCACTGGCTGATCTTGTGGGTACCAAGCTCAGGCTTGCTGGGCCTTGACCTTGCTGGGATTTTCTTAGACATTGCTAGAGTCTGGGGCATATTTTGGAAAAAAACAGCAGAACATTTGCATTTAGAAAGACTCACAAAGAATGAGATCCTAATGCTCTGTGGTATGAAGGACAACGTACAGGGCTGCTCTGCTCAGGGACTATTTGGAGATCAACTGACCTGGTTGGCATCCCTGTAAGGACAAAGTTGTAATCTTATCTCAGAAAATTCTTTGTTGGCTGCAGTCTGGGGTCTGTTGACATTATTTCTTAAGTGTTTGGTGTGGGTCAAACTCCTGTTCTCAGAAGCCTGGGTGATAAACATCTCCTAGAGCACTAGAAGCAGAAGCAGGGCCTCTCTGTTGTCTTCAGCTGATAAGGTACAGAGCTGCTGCTCCTGCACCAGACCCCTCGGATGCCATGTGGCTCTGCTGAGTCCAAGCCTTCAAAGCTTAGATTTATCAACACAGACTGTGTCAGCAGAACTAGAGACCCAGTAGGCAAGACAGACGACTGTCCAAGTTTTGTTTTGTTTCTTCCATGGCAAATCGCAGCCTGGCTTTAAAAGATTCACAAATGTAACTTTGGAATGACCATTCCTCTTCCCCTGTTGTGATCTGGTCTACTTTTGTGCTTTCTGTATAGATTAATGGCAAGAGTACAAACAGTACAAAATTATAAATCAAGAGTATTCTCACTTATTGTTTCAAGTTTATCTCATACGAACAATGGGAGTCATTCAACCATGGTCCAAGTAAGGGGAATATAAAAGTTGGAAACATTTTATAATTCATCATTTAGTTAAGTGTTCTGTCTTGGGACAGGACCATTTCCAAATCGCTTTAAATGCATGACTGTAAAAGAATGTGGTATCATTTAGAATAGAAGTTATCTACTTACTTAATTGCTTCTCAAGAGAAGGATTAGCACATTGTACTCATGCCATCTTTGGAAAATGACTGCCGGTAGCTGTTTGAGAATTTATGCTATTATCTTTCCAGCTAAGAAACTGATTTGTAAGAACTACAACGATGACATTATTTTCTCATCAAGTTCCAAGTCAAGATAGGTACTGTTTATTATGATTCTCATCTTATGAGACAAAATGAGAGCAAGTCAGGAGACTGAGGCCCACAGCGGCAGAGAAGAATTAAACCGAGATCTAACTCCACTGGACACATATTTATGTTCATTCCATGCTTTGGTCTCTACAATGATTATAAGAAGGAGGATCAAGTTACTAGTCTATGCAAACATTGCAAACACAAATTTATATACAATGTATAGAAATTACAAAATGTCAGTGCTGAAAAGAGTCTCATTTACCTTACTAGTTTTATAGATAAGACAGTGAAGGTTTACATAGGGGAAGGTTATTGTCATAAATTAGCACCAGAGCTAGACCAGGATCCAGGCACCCCTCCGCCAGCTCAAAGACTCCGAAACAAAGCATCCTATTTAGCCAGGGCCTTAGAAACTTCCAACAGCAGGTTTTCACTAAATGGGAAGAGAAATATATCCCCAAACACTGCAGGTAATAAAGAACCCCTAATGTTCTGGTATGCACAACTG